CAGAACTCGGAAAAAAACAAAATTCCACCTTAAAAATTCCAAAGGGAAACTCCCACCTTGGAATTCCCGGTTTGGGTTTTATTTTCCCCCCACCTCGATTTTCTCCTTTTTATTCTAAATTTTCCCGGTTTTTTTCCCTTTTTTTTTTTTTTTTTTTGGGAATAGCGATGGAAGGAGAAATTTTGGCTGAAAACCTCGGGATTTTGGGAATGTTTCCAGGGAATTATCTCCCAAGAGATTTCAGCAACTTTTTAAACGATTCTGTGGCTTTTTTGGGTGGAAAAAATAAAAAAAAATAAAAAAAGCGATTTTTTTTTTCCCTGGAAAATCAGATTTTCACTCTGAATTCCTGCTGGGGTTGTCCCTAATGAGAATTAATTTATTAATTAGCGATTACTAATTTATTTATTATGGAATTTTTAAGGAATCTGACATTTTTTCCTCCCCCCAGGGGTTATTTTTGGAATGTCCAAAATATTCCCCATTTTCTACATCCCTGCTTTTCCAGGAAAAGCAGGAACCTCTCCAAAAAATGGGATTTTCCTGCTATTAAAAAAGATATTTTAATGATTATTTTGGGATTGTTCCTTTATTATTGAAAAGATTTGAATGCTTTTTTAATTTTCCCGTTTTTGGCTGGTTTTCTCTCATTTTTTAAGCCATTTTTCCTCATTTTTGGGGCTGCTTTCCCCCATTTTTTACTATTTTCCCATCACTTTTTGGTGTTGTTTTTTCCCCATTTTTGATTTCTATTTTTTCACCCATTTTTGGGTTATTTTTCCTCAGTTTTTGAGTTGCTTCCCTCATTTTTTTGGGCTATTTTCACTCCAATTTTGGGCTATTTTTTATCCCATTTTTGGGGCTGTTTTTCCTAATTTTTCTTTTATTTTCCCCTCATTTTTGGGCTGTGATTCCCCCCAGATTTTTGCTGTTTTCCCTCAATTTTTGAGCTATTTTCCCCCTCATTTTTGTGGCTTTTTCCCCCAATTTTTGAAGCTTTTCCAGCCCAAACTCACATTTTGCCCACAACCACCACAGGCCCAAACCTCCCCTGTATATCCTGAATTCTGGAATTTCCTCCTTAAATCTCATCCCAAAGAGGAAAATATTTTAATCATGATTTCAATCATTCTTTTATCATTATTTTAATCAACATTTTGGCATCTGGGAAAAGAGAAGTGAATTAAGAGTTCTATTTATAGCAGCACAAAAAGCGTGGGAAGGGCCCATCCCAAATCCAAATTATTCCTGAGATAAAAATCTGCTTTGGCTCAGAACAACTTCCTTAATTAGTCCATAATTAGTCCTTAATTATCCCCTGATTCCCTAAAAATCTCCTTCTTTACTCTGGAACTCATTGTGGGACAGCAAATTTGGGTTTATTCCTAAAAAAAATTAAAAGTTTGGGAGCTCAGGGCTCTCCAATTTCTGTCCCATCCCAAATTTCATGAGGGATATGGAAATAAAAAGGGAATTGAAGCAGGATTTGGAATGTGTTTAAGTGGTTTCTGTATCTAAATTAGATTAAAATGTGTTAAATTAATTAATAATAAAAGCTAAAATTTACTTGATTAATCCCATCCTCTTGTTTTGATGGATTCTTTCCCAGATGTTGGAACCTGATTCTTCCAAGGTGGAGAAAGTGGGGAAAAATTCTGATTTTCAACCTTGAAATTCCAGCCTGGAATTCCTTCCCTAAAGGAGAAAGGCAAAGAAAATCCAGTTAAATTAATATTTTAATTTGAAATATGGATAAAATAATAACCAATAATGAATAATAGGTTAATAACCAAATAATAAACAAAGAAAAAACAAAAAACAAAAAAATTCTTAAATAGTAATTATTTTAGATCAGAATTATTTTAAATATAAACAACACTTTAAAATATAATTAATTAAAAAATTTAAGTAGATCTATCACAAGTAACAGAAACTGTTTATCCCAATTGGGCTGATTCCTCCTCATTTTTGTCAACTGCTTTCCCCCATTTTTTGGGCTGTTTTTTCCTGATTTTGGGGCTGCTTTCCCTATTTTTTTTTGGTTGGATTTCCCTCCTTTTTGGGCTGTTTATTCCTCATTTTGGAGCCGATTTCTCCGCCTCATTTTGGGGCTGATATCTCAATTTTTTGGGGCTGTTTATGCCTCATTTTGGGGCTGATTTCTCCTCAATTTTTTGGGGCTGTTTTCCCTCCTTTTTGGGCTGTTTATTCCTCATTTTGGGGCTGAATTCTCCTCAATTTTTTGGATCTGTTTTCCCTCCTTTTTGGGCTGTTTATTCCTTACTTTGGGGCTGATTTCTCCTCATTTTTTTGGGGCTGTTTATTCCTCATTTTGGGGCTGATTTCTCCTCAATTTTTTGGATCTGTTTTCCCTCCTTTTTGGGCTGTTTATTCCTCATTTCGGGGCTGATTTCTCCTCATTTTTTGGGGCTGTTTTTCCTCATTTTGGGGCTGGATCAGGTGGGGAATTTTTGCCCTCAGGTGAGCCAGGGAGCACCTTGGCACCTTGGGAATGTCAAGGAGGGCTGGTCCCAACTCCAAGAGAACTTGAAGGTGGGCGAAGCCCACCCAGCTAAACCCAACACCTGCCCAGGTGGGAGATTTCGCCCTCAGGTGGAGCATTTTTGCCCTCAGGTGGGAAATCTTAACCAGCGAGCACCAGCCATCCCTCACCCGCCGGCTCAGAGGGGCTCACGGGCCCACCCGACCGGGGAGCACCCCCTCAGCCCCTGAGGGCCACTTCTCCAGCCCTTCACCCCCTCAGGATCCCCTGAGAAGCGCAGCAATGGCGGATCCATGAGGGCAAGACCCGTGAGGAGCGGCCGGGGGTCGCGACCCAGCGGCGCCACTTTCCCGCCCTTCCCCTTCCCTCCCTCAGCCGCCTCAGGGCCCGGCCCCCGTGACGTCACCGCGCGCAGGCGGAAGTGACGTCAGCTGTATCCCTCCGCCGGCCAGGTCCCCTTTTTGTGTGTGTGGTGTGTGTGTTGTGTGTGTGGTGCGGCTGCGGGCGCCGCGCGCCTGTATCAGCCCGCCGGGCCCGACGACCTTTTTTTTTTATCCCCCCCCTCCCCCCCCTTTTTTTTCCCGTGAGAAGTGAAGTAGAGGAGAGGTGGGGGGGGAAAAAAAAAAACCCCACACGCACGGCAAGCACGGAGCCGCCCCCCGGCACAACGTACAGAGGGCGAGCAGAGGCAGGGATAATTCCTTCTTCTTCTTCATCATCATCATCATCTTCATCCTCCTCCTCAGCATCCCGCCAAGTGTGAGGGACGGGGGGGGGCTCATGCCACCTGCCCCCGCGCCCTGCGGGTCGGCGGAGCCCCATAGGAGCGAGCGGCGGCAGCGCTGAGGAAGGTGAGGCGGGGGGCGCGGGGAAAGGAGGGGGGACGAAGACGGCGGGCCCCCCCCCCCGGGGGGGGGGGGGGGGGGGG